GGGCCTTTAGAGTTCAGGTCCAGCTTCACACTGCACAGGCCAAGTCTAGTTGCTCTCTGGAACTGGTGCACCAAGTTCACAGTTCTCAGCCTCAGCCGTCTGGCTCTGAGGAGCAAACCCAGCAGTTTCCCAGCTCTGTTTCCCTTCACCTTCTCCCCCTCCCAGCAGTATCTCACATCACTGCAGGGATCAGGCAGTAACTTCATTTCCGTTTCAGTCTCTGCTCTTGGAGTGTCGATCTAGTTTGCATCATCTGTGTTCCTGCTGAGAGATACTGATCAGTATCATTGTTCAAACCACACAAAAGAATCTCATGACAAAGGGTTAAATAAAGATTGAAATAAAATAAAATCTAAAAAAGGATGATTCTGGCAAATGATCACTTGTCTCATGAAGTCCGCAATAAATCTGAGCTACATCCTGTCAAACTAAACTAATATCAAAGTATGTGACCTAACGGCCTTCATGAAAGGAGAAACACCCACAGTCCAGGGTGGGCCATAAAACACTTTCACATTCATAAAGTGAAATCTCCGAGCATCCTTCAAGACTCAAAAAAATCAGGAAAATAAACAGACCCATTTTCTTCTGAAGTGGCTAAACTGCTTTCATTTCTCATTATTCGGTTGTATTAGTTGCAAAAGTTTTAGCATCATTATAATAAAAGTCCAGATCTACAAAAGATCTGGACTAAGCCTAGAAAAAGCCGGGAAGCAATTTTATCAGTAAGTGGAAACAGAGCATGAGATCTGAAAGGTCAAACTGTGCTTTGAGGTTCATTGGGATTTCCCCACCCACTCCTAGGCCCTCCAGAGTCTGACTTAGGATCATAGACATCAAAACTGTGATTCTTTACCATGTAGAACCAGGGACCCAGTGGTAAGTTACATCTTGGGAGGGGTAGAACGGGGATGGGATAAATCTCTCCATCGCTTGGATAGATGTTACAGTGTCAAGAGTGGAGGATGACGGTGAAGGGGGAAGGAGGGAATCCCTCAGACTCACCGCATCCCAGGGCCTCCCAGAGAGGGGGGCAAGTGGGGCAATTTGCCCCAGGCCCCAGGCCCCGCAAGGGCCCCCATGAGAGTTTTTTGGGGCCTCTGGAGCAGGGTTCTTCACTCGCTCCGTGGGCCCCGGAAAACCCTCGCGGGGCCCAAGTCCCCGGAGCTTCTTCCGCTCCGGGTCTTCGGCTGCAGTTCGGCGGCGAGGGGTCCTTCCGCCCCGGGACCCGCCGCCGAAGTGCCCTGAAGACCCGCGGCGGGGGGTCCTTCGCCCCGGGACCCGCCGCCAAAGTGCCCTGAAGACCCACGGCGGGGGGTCCTTCACCCCGGGACCTGTCGCCGAAGTGCCGGGTCTTCGGCGGCAATTCAGCGGCGGGGGCCCCCTGCCGCCGAAGACCCCAGGCCCCCTGAATCCTCTGGGCGGCCCTGCCACATCCACCTGAAATAGCACAGAAGCCCAAAGACCACATTTTGTACAGACAGTAAATGCTTTTCAGCGCGTCCTGGAAAAACGTGAGACTATCTGAAAACGAGACAATCCGGCCCCAAAGGAGGAACTCAGGGACTAGCAATCACTGTGCTAATGAGAGAGGGTCAGAGCACATAAGTAAGGCTACAATTTTACTATGGCGCTCGCAGAAGTCATGAAATCTGTGACTTCCGACCATGGCAGGTAGGAGCTACGGGGTCCCCCTGCCACCCGCTGCAGCCCAGAGCTGCCCACCAGAGCTCTGAACTGTTGCAGGCCATAGGGGTCCTGCAGTTCCTAGCTGTCATGAGCGGTGTCGGGGGCCTCTGCACCTCTGAGCCACGGGTGGCACGGGGCCTCTGCAGCTCTCTACCAGACCCTCACAGCTGCCCAGCCACCATGGGACCCCAGAGCCCCAGCAGCCATGGGTGCTGGAGCCTTCTCCCTCCCCATTTTGTCCTGGATATTATTAGTAAATGTCACAGACAGGTCACGGGCTTCCGCAAATTTAGCTTTATTGCCCATGACCTGTCCCTGATTTTACGAAAAACATCCAGGACAAAATCTTAGCCTTACACGCAAGATGCTCACGGTGCGTTTATACTCGGAAACCCGGTTCAGGGTCACAGAGATGCGCCGGTTAATCCCGACCATATTTCCTGTCTCTTTCCCTTTCCCCTCTGCCTGGGAGAACTGGGGACTGTTCCGTTCCCATGGGCGTTTGCTCTCCAGGGTGAGTCTGGCTGTGTCGCTGAGGGCAGCAGCTCTGGGACCCACAGGCATGGGGAGCCCCCTCCCCCTCCGGTACAAACTCACCAGCAGGTCCCTGAAAAGGGCACTTTGTGCAGTCACTTTCCTGCCCGGACCCAGCCCTTTCCCCCAGGTCTCCTCATCACCTGCAGGCTCCGGCTCAGGGGCTGGTGTGAGCAGAGCCCGGGGCTGCCCCAGGGGCTGGTTCTAGGCATGGTGAAAGTCCCCACCCGGGCTGGGCACATGGCGGGGGGGTGAATGCAGTTCTCTGCCCGGTACAGACCCCGCTACATAAGAAGCAGCGTCTCACTCTGGGCTCCCAGTTTAAACTTCAGGAGGAAGCAGCTTCTGACCCAGGGAGCTCCACTCCAGGGCTGTAAAATCATGCGCAGGGAGCCACACAAACCGGCCTCCTCCTCTCCCTTGGCCAGAACCGGACCCCTCTGGTGGCAGCAGCTAATGCCTGAGCCTCCCTGTCCTGCCCCGGCAGCCCCCAGGGACAGGCAGGGGCTGATCCCATTGGCCCATCCGCACTCACCTCCCCTGCCAGAGCCCGCAGTGACTCCACAATCTGGACTGTTGAGTTGCTTAATTCTCCATCCCAGGACATGTTTTACACTGCTGCCCTGTGTGAACAACAAACCCCCCCACGCTCTGCTCCCACACAGCCACCAGCCTTCACAGGCACTCCTGGCTGCACTGTACTGAGTGCGACTAGCCAGACACTCAGGAACGTACCAAACAACACAGCAACATCAGCCAGTTTTCTACTCCCAGCCTTGCACCCCGGGAACGTGCATCTTGGACTGCTCAGTCTGTTCGCTGTGGCTGGACAAACTCAATCATTAATTGGTCATCCCCACAAAGGGGCCTGATTAGGCCACAGCCTTGTTCTCTCCAGTCAAATCCCCCAAACACTTCAATGAAAACACACAGCCCAGACAAAACACTAAAACCAGTTTAGTAACTGGAGGAAGGGGGTTTTCAGGGTTTTCAAGTGAGAAAGATGTAAAAGATCAGAACTAGTTAAAAAAATAAAATTAAAACATGTATTTTAAATCTTAAATTTTACCAAGCTAAGGAAGATGCGAAGCAAACAGGATTTCCGACCCCACCCGCCGTTGCAGGCAGTTCACAGTTCTTAGTACCCAGGCTGGATTTCCTTCCAGCCTTGGTCCGCCCTCCCCAGTGCAAAGCCCTTGTTGCCTTTAAAGCTACCTTGTTGCCTTCTGTAAAGATGGGGGAGATGTAAAAATGGAGACAATTCTTGCTTATGTTTTTATACCACTCTCCTCTTTGAAGCTCACGCCCCAGCTGAGGGGCAGGCGACAATCAGTCTGTGGCGTAAGTGAGCGTCCAGCCGTCCTTCAGGTCAGGGGTTCTCAACCTTTTTCTTGCTGACGCCCCCTTCTGCATCCTATAAAAACACCAGGGCCCAAGCAGGGGGGAGGGGCAGCAGAGTGTGAGGCTCTGGGTCAGGGGGACACCCTTAGGCATAGGCATAGTTTTACTTCTATTTGGGGGGGGGGCAAGGGCTGGCGGGGCTCAAGCCAGTTCCACAGAACAGGGTCCAGGGAGGGTACGGCACCTCCACCCCCTGACTCACTCAGGAGGCCACCCACCTGTTTGGGTAGTGGGGGGACGCAACCAAAAAATATAACGCAAAGGGGGGGACTCAGTTCAAAAAGTTTGAAAACCGCTTCGGGTGCGGGCAGGGGGGTAGCTAAGGACTGTGTATGGGCGGGGGGGGGATGCCCAGGGTGCAGGCAGGGGGTACCTACGGGCTGTGTAGTGGCAGGGGGGCTCCCAGTACAACTCACAGCTTCAGGGGGCAGGGTGTTGGAGCTCCCAACTTCAGCTTCCCCACTGCTCCGGGATTTGGGGATGGGGGGGCGACACCGCCTTCTGACTGCCCGCTGCTCCCGGCTTCGGGGATGGGGGGAACTGCCAGCTTCAGTTCCATGACACTCCCGGCCATGGCGGGGGGATGGCACTCCCGGCCATGGCGGGGGGGCCCCTGGATTGAGCTCTGCGACGCTCCCGGCCGGAGCAGGGGAAGCGCGGGAAGCTTGAGAGACACATTTTAACCAGACAATAATATTCAGCAGATGATGACTTTTTCTATGATATCTCACAAGACATACTTTGTACATTTATCATTTTCTAAACGTGGTGATCATAATAGTGTAGACCAGTGGCTCTCAAATGTGTTTCATCACGCCCCCCCCTTCCATGTGTCTGTGGTCATTTATGCCCCCACCCTCACAAGCACATACATCGCCACCCAGCTCTAACGGCAGAGTAGTTGCTGGCGATGCGCCCAGCTCTGAAGGGCTCCAATAGCAGCACAGAAGTTGGGGTGGCCACGTGAAAAGACTTATCACCCCATTGCCACCCTTACTTCTGTGCTGCTGCTCCACCTGGGTTTGAGAGCCTGAGCATTTATCCCCACCTCCCAGATAGGCCTGTGCTTCTTCATGAGCCCCAGCCACCCAGGGCCGACAGCCAGTGCTCTTTAAAAAAACAACAACCCACAGAGGTCACGCCTCCCTTGACACATTCCTGTGACTCCCTTACGAGGCCCTGCCCCACAGTTTGAGAATTGCTAGTGTGGATAGTCACCGTGGGGATTGGTAGCCAAGATGGTAACACCTGCTCCTTTTTCTCTCCGGGACATCCAGAGAAAATGTCCAAGCAGGAGAGCAGAACAGATCCCATAAATATTAACGTTGCAAAACACATTTTGGTGATTTCAGCTATAAACATTCCCTCCATCCTTCAGGCCCTACCCCCAGTGATTTCAATGAGACTGAGCTAGAATGGGGCAGGTGGCATGGGAAACGGGTATAATCTCTGAATTATTGATCCTTGAATTAACAGAATACAGGAACCTTTGGGATAAATTGTTAACCTCTAACAAGATACAGCTAAACATAGACCACTACAGTTACCCCTCTTCTTCCAAGTCTTTAACAATACACATTTACATTTCAAACTCTAGATTATCTAAGGTGGGGACACTTTTAAAATATCTGTCTAAAGGTTGAATCTGAGTCAATTACACGCAAGTTGCTTAACACTTTCTCGCCATGTGTCACAGAGGTTTACATCTTGTGTGGCTTCTTCCATGTTTCATGAGGTCTGACCTCCGTATGAAACCTTTCCCACACTCGAAGCACTTGTGGGGTCTCTCTCCTGTATGGATTGCCTGATGATTAACAAGGTCTGACCTCTGTATGAAACCTTTCCCACAGTCCAAGCACTTGTGGGGTCTCTCTCCTGTATGGATTGCCTGATGTTTAGCAAGTTTTGACCTCCGTATGAAACTTTTCCCACAGTCCAAGCACTTGTGCGGTCTTTCTCCTGTATGGATTGCCTGATGTTCAACAAGGCCTATTCTCCATGTGAAACTTTTCCCACAGTCCAAGCACATATGGGGTCTCTCTCCTCTGTGGATTGCCTGATGTTTAACAAGGTGTGACCTCTGTATGAAACTTTTCCCACAGTCCAAGCACTTGTGGGGTCTTTCTCCTGTGTGGATTGCCTGATGTTTAACAAGGTGTGACCTCTTTATGAAACTTTTCCCACAGTCCAAGCACTTATGGGGTCTCTCTCCTCTGTGGATTACCTGATGTTTAACAAGGTTTGACCTCCGTGTGAAACTTTTCCCACAGTCCAAGCACTTATGGGGTCTCTCTCTTGTGTGGATTTCCTGATGTTTAACAAGGCCTGTTCTCCATGTGAAACTTTTCCCACAATCCAAGCACTTATGGGGTCTCTCTCCTGTGTGGATTGCCTGATGATTAACAAGGGATGATCTCCAAGTGAAACTTTTCCCACAGTCCAAGCACTTATGGGATCTCTCTCCTGTGTGGATTGCCTGATGTTTCACAAGGTCTGACTTCCGCCTGAAACTTTTTCCACAGTCTAAGCACTTATGGGATCTCTCTCCTGTGTGGATTGACTGATGTTTAACAAGGTCTGACTTCCGCTTCAAACTTTTCCCGCAGTCTAAGCACTTATGGGGTCTCTCTCCTGTGTGGCTTTTCTCATGTGAATTTAGTGCTGATTTTGACCTGAAACATTTCCTGCACTCAAGGCATTGAATGGGCTTCTCTCCAGTGTGGCTTCTCCCATGGTTATTAAGATCTGAGTGCTTATTGAAGCTTTTCCCACGGTCCAAGCATTTAAAGCGTTTCTTTCCAGTATGGATTGTCTGATGTGTCACAAGCTGTGATCTCACAATGAATCCTTTCCCAGACTGCAGGCAGTGACAGGGTGTATCTTCCTTGGAATTTGTCTGCTGCGCTCTGGGGTCTTGGTCTCCTCCTCCACCATTAATAGATTCATCCACTTTCTTCCTTGGGTGGTTTCCCAGAAGCCTCTCTGACCTGTGCCAATTTCCCCAGGCTTCTGCCTGCCCCAAGCACTGGGAAAAATTCCCTTCAGCTCTTCCCACAAAGGTCCACTGTGGTTCCACTTCCCCGGGAACTTCCTTATGATGATTCCCCTCCTCATTCTCACTCCCTCGCTCAGCACCTGATAGGAGAGAGAGACAATCCAGACAGGAGTCATTGTGCTGGGGAGAAAGAGGAATAGCACCGAGGGAAAACCCAACACAAAGACTGAGCAATTGGATTCTGCCTACACATCCCACCCAAACACTCATAGGGAAGGAGAGATAGGAAGGAAACTCCTGCAGCTAACAGTATGGGTGGAATGGTGTGAGCGATATCTGCTGACCATAGCCCTGCTCTGGGTGAGATGAGGAAGAACTGAGGGCGTTACTCACACCATATTTTGGGATTCTCTACTTTTTCCTTCATTCCCCAGATGGTTTCTGTGTCAGTCCTCACCTGTGCGGTTGCATCTCAGAAGCCTTCTTTCCTCGCAGGCCTGGAGATCCGGCACCCACGGCTCTTCCCCTCGTTCCAGCCGGGCGATCAGCTCAGGTTTGGGAATGGGAAATCCTGTGCAGAGGGTGAAATGAGTCCAGATCAGGGTGCGTGGAGCATTGGTGGAGTATTTGTCACTAAGGACATTCCGTGAGTGGAACCAGTCCCTGTGCTCTGCTGGAGGAACATGGAATCCAAGAGGATGGGAACAAGGTCACTGAGCCCCCTCGCACAGAGGAAGTTGTCTGGGGAGGTGAGTTGAATTATTACTACACCCTCACTAGGCGTTCCCAGGATCTGTGCGCTCTGGGGGCCTTGCTGACGCAAACACAGCTCTGCACTTAAAACCCTGCCTCTTTCTAAACCCGCAGACCCTGGGGCCTTCCCCATCACTGGAGCTATTCCCAAGGAGCAGGGGGAAGAGGGATTGTGTGTGCAGCCGAGAAACAACACAGACAGGACAATGCTGGATTTATGCCCCTTTGAAAGCTGGAAGGTTGGGGATGGTTTAACTTCTTCCTTGGGTTTTGACACCCATGTCCCACTGGAGAGGGCACAGAGATGCAAGTCTCTCTCACACGGCAGCTGTGCATTATGGAACCCACCTGCCTCAGATCTAACTGACCAGGGAAGAACCTGAACAGATTCAGATGCGCAGACCCCACGACTTCTAATAACTGAGGGGATGGGAATCCTTTACCCAGCGAGGTCACCATCTCATAGTTCTCCTGCATGACGTCCCTGTAGAGGGCTCTCTGAGCGGGGTCCAGCAGAGCCCCCTGCCCCTGGGTGAAATACACAGCCACCTCCTCGAAGGTCACCGGCATCTGAAAGAACAAGACTCCCCCACTCAGCACCTGCTGCCCCAGCCACAATACCACTAGTCATGGGAAAGGAAAAAAAACGTGAAGCTCTGGAAGGGCCAGAGTAGCAGAATCCCACCCAAACCCTGCTTAGAGCAGCCAGGAGGCTTCAGGGGGTGGGAGAAGGTGAGAGCTCCTTGTCCCCCCCAGCACACAGAGCACGGCCAGGACTTGTCATTTCCCACACACCTGCCAGCCAGAGGGTGATATTGGAAGCAGAGCTCTGAGCCAGTGACAGGGACAGGAATCCCAACAGCTTCCCTTCGTATTTCACAGCAGCCTCTGGCTAATGGGTTCAGGCTCCAGCACTGGGAGCCTGGAAAATGTTCCAAGTCCTGCAGAGGGCATTATATCCTGTTTGAGAAATGGGGGAATGTCCCCTCTCGCCTCCCCAGCCACCAATGGGCCTACTCAGAAAAACAGCAGGTTTATCACACCCTGTCTCCCCCTCCCCCTGCCCAGCCCCTCCCTAATAATCCCCTACCTGAGCTGGCTCCATCACAGCCATTTCCCTTCCCCGTAAGAGGGGCGGATCTGGAGTGAAATGTGGATGTGATTTTTTTTTTTTTTTTAATATATGGAAATATACCTATCTCATAGAACTGGAAGGGACCTTGAAAGGTCATTGAGTCAAGCCGAGTCCAGTCCCCTGCCTTCACTAGCAGGACCAAGTACTGATTTTGCCCCAGATCCCTAAATGGCCCCCTCAAGGATTGAATTTACAACCCTGGGTTTAGCAGGCCAATGCTCCAACTACTGAGCTAGCCCTCTTCCCCTATTCCTCAGCCTGTCCCAGTGAGAGGGGCGATGGGGGAGGTTACAGAAGGGGCTTCAGTCCATGTCACACCCTGATTCCCCCCAGGCTCTTCAGACCCTCCCAGTAACAGCATCTCTGAACCAAACACTAGAAAAAGAGCAGAACTAAAGGGGCCACTCTGGGGGATTGCCCCCCATTGCAGTGTAAACTCCTCTCCCTTAGCAACAGCTGGAGCCCTCTGGTGGCAACACCTGAAGAATGAGCTGCCCTGGACTCCCCCGGCAGCCCCCAGGGGCAGGCAGGCAGAGGCTGATCCCATTGGCTCATCCACACTCCCCCCCTGCCAGAGCCAGCAGTGACTCCGGTCTGACACTCAGATCGGAATCCTACCCGGAAATCAGACCAGGGCTCGGGCAGCCCCCAACACTGAGGACACACAGACCCCATCAGCACGGGTGTGTCTGACAATTACACACTGGGAGCCGTGGGGGGGGGGGCGCGGGGTCTGGGTTTTTGCCTTGTAGCTTCTGCTCCCTGAGGGGTTTGTCCCCTGATCCCTCCCAAAGCCGGTTTGACCAGTTCCAGGAGGAGAAGAGCTTCTCTCCGCCCCTCCCCCCTCGTGTCCCATGGGCCGGAGAAGCTGCCTTGGCATCTCCCCCCCTTCCCCCGCCAGCCTCCCCACAGCCCCCTTCCCTCGCAGTGCCCCCCCCTCACATCTTCCCCCATTCCAGCCTCGCTCCCCTCAGCCCCACAATCCCCCCGATCCCCTGCATCGCCCCATCTTCCCTTCAGTGCACCCCCGCCCCCATCCCAGCCTGCTCCCCGCATCCCCAGCACCCGTCTCCTGCCCCCATCCCGCTCCCCCCGCCTGCCCTCACCCCCTGCCCCTCTTTATCCTCCTCCCGCTGCAGCCCGGGTGTGACCGGGGACACCGCTCCCTGGGCGGGGTCTCTTACCTTCCCTCCGAGCGGGGCCCCCCTGGGGCAGGGGCCGGGCCGGGAAGGGGCCTGGCCAGGCTGGGGGCTCTGCCCTGGGAGAGGCTCCTGGGGAGCAGCGGGAAGGGCCCTGCTGGAGATTCCCCTCTCCCGGCTGCAGCCAGGGCTCCGGGCTCCCAGCACCAGCCGCCGGGCCTCGGGGATCTCGCCAGGAGCCTGGGAGCCAGAGTCACCGCAGCGGCTGCGAGTCACTTCCTGCCGCCAGGACTGAGCCCAGCGATCGCTCCCCCAGAGCCTCCTCCCAGCTGCTCCTGGGTCCTAGCGATAAACCCAAGGAGCTGCAGCATCTCTGTGTCCGGCTCCTGTTCCACTCACAGGCTCTAAGGTCAGAAGGGCCCATCATGAGCATCTAGCCCAGGGGTTCTAAGGACCAAATTTGGTGGCGTCAGAGTGTGGCCAGCAACTATCCCTGGTGGCCGCTCTGACACTTTCCCTATAATCCTAATTAATTTTAGGAGAAACCAATAAATATGCACAGAGGTAAGCAGGGGAACGGTCCTACTATTACTGGCTTATACACCACCTCGATGGAATCGAATTGCAGAATGATCTGAGCCCTCGCTCCCACTCCTTTTACCCGGAGGCCTGCCTGACCTCCAGGACTCCCCTTCGACTCTAGTCCCTGAAGCCCCAACAAGGCTGGGCCCAGGATTTCTCAGGGCGCTTCACCCCCAATCTTCTTGTGATCACTCAGGACAGAGGCTAGGGTTTCATATCACAAGTCTGGGGTGCTCTCTTCACTCTGGACGCTTCCCTGATTGCATTGAGTTCAGAACAAACACAATTTATTAAACAGCAAGTAATAAAAAAGAAAAAGAAAAAAGGGGAAAGGAAAACATGATGTCATCCCACACTGCCCAAGGTCTCCCCTCGCTCTCCCCAGCTCCTCACGGCACCCAGCTCCGGACTGCTCCAGCCCCAGCTTCCCTCTGCATCAGTGCTTCTGCTTCTCTGCCCCCAACCCAGCTCTGGCTGCTCCTCTGCCCTTAGCTCTGCCTTCTCTGGCAGGCAGCTCCAGCTCACACAGAGGACAGGCTACTGACTCCCTCATTGGCCTGCCTGTCCTGTCAACGAGGCTGACCTAGAGCCTTGGTCTCTCCCCATTGGCCCTGGGGACTACTCTCAGGGTCTTTATTTCTCATTGGCCCTTCCTGTCTTTTGGTACTGGGAGAGGGCCAACCAAAAAAACACCACTAAGTTTCAGTAAGGGACCAACAGTCATGGGGTCAGGCAACTTCAAGGTGTGTGTGTGAGCTCCAAAGCATCCTTCAGGTGAATTATACATTTCTTTGTTTCTTTGTTTACCCCCTTCTTTCTGTTGGTGATGGATGGCCAGATAAGAGTTTTCTAACAACAAGGGTCGGTCCTTTGTCGTCTCTGCGGAGTTTGAGTGGGACAATCCCCAGAACTATGACATATTTCAGTAACAAAAACTTTGACATATGTCTGGGTTTTTCTCGACAGATCCTCTTTTCTGAGCCTGCCAAGTGGGGTTTTCCCATAACAGCAAATATCTGGGGGGCTGTAGGAGTTGCAGAGCAGACGCACTGCTGCTCAGAAATAGCCCTGATTGGTCAGCTTCCCAATTAGTCCATTCACTTGCATCCACAGCTGATTTGTCCATTCCCCTGCATTCACAGCTGATTGATTGCTGCTGGATCCCGCCCACCCAGGCCCAGGCTCCCAGCCCTGGGGAGTGGGTCCCGCAGGTCAGTGCTGACTGACAGGTGTTGCCACCGCCTTGCCACTGTGACAGCAGCCAACACTACCCTCACCTCATGAGTACCCTCACCGTACCCCTACATCACCCCTAACTCTACCCACTGCCAGCTCCTACCCCCCATCAGTGTCCTGTTTTGGGGCACCTGGAATATGGTCAGCCTAGCAACAAACACGTTCAAATCTCACCATTCTACATGCACTGGTGTTACATGTATTTCAACGGCACAATATTCAGCAGATCATGACTTTTCCATTGATCCCTCACCAGGCATGCTTTGCACACAATATATCCAAACCCTACACAGTGGTGAACATGGGGTGCAGGGGTTAGTCACAAGAGGGATGCAGTGATGGGCGAGTGGGGCAAAGAAACTCTCTGTCATCCCAACACAGGACATGGCGAAACATGGGGAGGGCGTGACTGGCTGGGCTGTCAGGTTCCTTATCTCCGTCTGGCCTCAGTGATGGGGATTGGCCTGGCTTCAAGGCTCCCCAGGTCTCCTAACATCCCCGGCTCCCTTCTTGCCTGTGCCCAACCTCAGCATCTTAGCAAGAGGGACACGCTGTCCCCTCCTCACATCATTACTATGGGGTGTCTGTCAGGGTTCTTTCCCCACGCTGAGGTACAGATGTGGGGCCCCGCATGAAAGACCCCCCTAAGCTTATTTTTACCAGTTTAGGTTAAAAACTTTCCCAAGGCACAAATTCCACCTTGTCCTTGAACAGTATGCTGCCACCACCAAGTGATTTAGACAAAGAATCAGGGAAAGGACCACTTGGAGTCCTATTCCCCCAAAATATTCCCCCAAGCCCTACACCCCCTTTCCTGGGGAGGCTTCAGAATAATATCCTCACCAATTGCTACAGGTGAACACAGACCCAAACCCTTGGATCTTAAGAACAATGAAAAAATCAATCAGGTTCTCAAAAGAAGAATTTTAATTAAAGAAAAGGTAAAAGAATCACCTCTGTAAAATCAGGATGGTAAATACTTTACAGAATAACAAAAGATTCAAAAACACAGAGGATTTCCCCTCTTGGCAAATTTTTAAAGTTACAAAAACAGGGATAAACCTCCCTCATAGCACAGGGAAAATTCACAAGCGACAACAAAAGATAATCTAATGCATTTCTTTGCTGTTACTTACTATTTCTGCAATAGTAGATGCTTAGTTCAGATATGGCTTAGGGAGATGTATTTTCCCTGCCCTGGTTCCTTGCTGACTCGGAGAGAACAAAGGAACACAAAAACAAAAACCTTCCCCCACAGATTTGACAAGTATCTTCTCCCCTTATTGGTCCTTTTGGTCAGGTGCCAACCAGGTTATCTGAGCTTCTTAACCCTTTACAGGTAAGGAGAGATTTTATGCTACCCTTAG